ACAAGACCGCATCCTAGTTTATCCTAAAAACTAGTCATCTAACTTAACTCTTCACAACGAGTAATCCCTAGCCCTAGCTAGTTCCTATCCCTAAATTCAACCGGCTTGAGTATGCCATGAAAGTAAAACAAGTTTAAAATAAATAACAAAAGATCCTACGCTCAATTAGAAAAATCTTACTGCTCTTTTCTATTAAGATTAAACTTCAGGAGGATTTAAGTTGAGATCTAGAAGTTTGATGCAAACTCTAAGATCCAAGGGCGACTCTCCTCGCTGTAGGCTAATCAAATGAAGATGTACCCGGAGAGTGAGCAAAAGACGAGGCTTCAGGGAATCAAACGACTTCTCCTTGATGATCTCTCCTAAATCCTAGTTCCTCTCTCTCTCTCTCTCCTCAAATTAGATCATAAAGAAGTGTTGTAAAACGCAGGAGAAGATTAAGAGGTAGCCTGCAACGAACAACTGAGCTTGAATTCTAAAATCTAATACAACTCATTTGACCATCAAAGGTGGATGGCTCTCAACCATTAATGGTCGATGACCCCATCGATGATCTGAACCTCTTTGGACTTTGCACCATCGATACTCCATAGTACCATTGATGGTACATAGGGCACCATTTGGTCAATGTGGAACCATCAATGGTTCAAGTTTTGAAATGAACTTTTGAGCTGATTTTTGACAGTTTTCGCCACATTTTTGTTCTATATCTATATACTCCTTTACTAGATCGTTTCAAACACAACTTAGACTCAAATGAATGTTTGTAATTACTCAAATAAGAGATATTGTACGGACAACGTCCTAGTGGCATCTATGGTTTAGTTAATATGAAGATAAATACATACCATATGTCACACCCCAGACTTCTGTTTGGAAATAAGCCTTAAAGCTAGCAAACTTGGACAACCACCGCAAGTGTAAAATACTTGGAAGACTTTATTCAACACAAACATCATTGGTGGATAATATAATGTCAACATAGCACAAATATAAACCTGATTGTGTGTATGATGTTTGACAAATTAAAGAACACATAAATCTATAAAAAATTACTCAAGTTGCCATGTTTGCTTGATTACATAAATTAATACATGTCCAAATCAAGTCTTTTCAGGAGAGTGAATGATGAGTAGAAAAGAGAGGATGAAGGTTTTCTTATTCAACCAGAATCCATTCTTATGCATCCTTAATTTGTACCCAATTATCATTTATGACATACCTAAGTAGCACTCTAAAGTTTCTCAAAATTTAGTTGAAATGCGCATTGTTCAATGTAGTATAGAGAGGACAACAGAGGGTACACTCATACTTTCTCACATTGATATTTGAATAAGAGACTAAATTATTATGAATTTTCCACTAACACGGCCTATTCTTTTATGATGAACATCATTAGAGAAGAATTAGTGTGCATGCATGCCATGTGGAATTCCGCTTTCTCCTTGGGCTACAAGTAACGCACTTAGTGCAAATCTGCCGATTTACGGTTTAGGGGTCTATAGGCAAAAACCCTTGTTTTTCTTAGAATAGAGGGTATTTTGTTCATTCTATCCTTAAATTGAAATTTAATGCCGTTAAACAAAAGGACTATTTGAAGTCGATGTCGAAGAATGTAGTGGTATGTAGGCAACATTCAGATTTGGGGGTAACTATATAAAGAAGATAAATATTGGGGGTATATAGGTAAAACAAAAAACAATTTATAATACTCAGACCATCAACTTGTAATAAATATTTTAGTCATAAGTAGTTCAAAAAACAAATTACTTGTTAATAACTATTGTCTCACCAGTGATGAGACTCCTTGTTAGTTTTTGCGTGGCACGATACCTAGGTTGTTGCTTCTCACCCAATATGATGTCAAGAGACATTGGTTGTTTTATAAGGCAAATTGTCAATTTTGAATAATAATATAAAATATAAAATATAAAATATAAAATATAAAATATAAAATATAAAATATTGACTATTATATTATATTTGTAATCAGGAATACGAGAAAAGGAAGAAGTTTAGGTCTTTAAGGAGGAAGATTTGCAAAATAATGTGTTTGAAAAATTGAGTTCATCCAAGGGATATTGATAAAAAAGAAAGGGAAATTAACCCCAAGATGCATTACACTTTGAATTACTAGGGAGTATTGGTAGATATCACACAAACTAATCTGATCTGATGTCCCAGAGTTACATAAAAATTGGGCATGACCTGTCTGTAATAAGGGGAGCCGACCTGCTCAATTTAACCACAGATTCAAATAGGAAAATGACCTCAAAATTTAATAAAATGGATCTTAAATGAAATATATGAGAGTCTAGTTTCTAAATCAAAGAATTACTAGAATTGGATATGTGTAGGGAGTGTTACGATCAAAATACTAACAGGATGTTTCTACACAAAATTTTTTGCACGAAAATTATGTCCTGAGAATCGACATGCAACCCATGTTTATACTAATTCAGAGCAAAACAACCATCATTTGATCATATGGGTTTGAAAACCAATAAATATCATATTTTTCATGTTCATAGATACGAAGGTCATAATTTATCTCTACTTATTGACATGCAAGAGCCAATATTTGCTTGTGTATAACATGCAACCATAATTCCTCACATGCAAGATCAAAAACCAAAATAAAATCCTATAATTCAATTTTAAATCCCCAAAAACTACACCAAGAGGAGAAATTGAGATCATATACCTAGTTTGAGGCTTTGTTCCACTTCCTCCTCCAAAATCCTCTAGCTAGCTTCTCTTGCTTCTTTCTCCTCTCCTTCTTTGGGTTGATGTAAACTTAGAAGAGAGGAGAACTTGAGAGAGAGTTTCTAATGGGGCTGTAACAAGAATTTTGGGGGGGTTTGGGGCTGAAGAGGGGCCGACCAAAGTGGGGAGGGAGAAGGAGAAAATGTGAGGGTTTTCTCTATAAAAAGAAAATGAGGAAGAGAGAGTGAGTGAGTGGGGTTTATGTAGTCTTGCCATGTGAGTTTTGGGAATGAGAATATAGGTAATAAGGGGAGTTTATCTGCAAAATTCTCTTTCATTCATGGATAACCAAAATATTTAAATGTGTTATTTAAAGAGTTTTAAAATAGGTATTTATCAAATTGGATTAACTCTAATCAAGGTTTATAACATGGTTGGTTAAGGTTCTCATGCTAGGTTTAATATACATGCTATAACTTAGTTAACTCTATCATAAATGAGCGATTAACTAAGTTAGTATCCTCGTTCCACAAGATTACAAGAGACAAAAGAAAGAAAAGAAAAAAAATACTGATTGTCATCGAAAGGGAAAAAATTGCGACGTTACATCTGACCCTAGTATCAGCTCATATTTATAATGCATTCCAGGTATGATTACTGAGAATGTTCCAAATCCCAAACATATCATTTTATATCAAGCCTTTGCCTCTACAAGATAATTTATCCTACAATGAGGAACTATGAAAATTCTGAACTGCTATGAAACATGCTCCAACAGAAAGCCAACCCTCTTGTGAAATTATTATGAACCATGATATGGAAGTAGAAACTTAAGGACTAGAAGAAATACAGAAAAATAATAAAGTATGTAAATTTTGTGGACAAAATTTCTTTTGTTTGGGTTTTTTTTTTTTTGGGGGGGGGGGGGGTAAAGAAAATTTTTCCTTTTATATTATTATATAAAATTGACAATGTGCCTTATAAAAGACCAACAATAAGTAGCAGTCTCTTTCCTTGAGGGACAACAATATTAAAAAGAAAATTTGTTTCTTAAACCAACTATGATTAAAATAAATTTAATGAGGTGATTAATAGAGTCTTTAAAATTACTTAATTCTTGTCTGCATTCGGAGACAACTGTTTCACCAGGAACCCGATTGGGATCACGAATGAGATGCATAATGGAAACCTCAATCAAATTTTCTTAACCACTAATAAAATCACATGTATTCAGCAAAACTAATTATTGGGCATATGTCTTACACCTTCACTAATGAGTTAATTTAAATGTCACCCAAAATCGACATGTACCACATTTATGCTAATCCTCCTAAAAATATACTAAACTATCATAATTTATGGATGGATTTTGTTAGTGGAAAATTCAGATTAATTAGCCTCATAAGGAAGGATTTAAGGAGCAAGAGCGGAAATGAGAAAGTGTGAGTTTACCCCCTATTGTCCCCTCTATTTTCCATTGAACCATGCCCATTGTAGCTGAGTGTTTGATGTACTTTTGAGGGCTAAAGTATTTAGACATTTCATAGATGATAATTTGTGAGAATTAAGGAGGATAAAATAGATTCTTGCAGAAGAAGAAAATTAATCCTCCCATTTTCTCCTAGGCATTTTCTCTCCAGAAAAAACAGCTTTCGACATTATAAATCTATGAGCATGACACTTTTTTTTGTGATAGTTTGTGTTCTTTTTTTGACAAATATTATCCACATGATCATGTTTATATTTGTTCCATGTTGATATTCTGTACATCTATCGTGCATTGGGCTTGTATATATATTGTTTTAAGCATTGCAACTATTATATACTTGTGGCAATTGTCGATCTCTACCTACCTTAAAACTTGTTTCCAAGCAGGTGTCCGGGTTGTTAATATACGTAACTCTTCTAATGTGCCTCATTGTAACCATGATATATTTGCATAATAGCTATTTTTTCTGGTGATTAGGCTACATGATTAGATGAAATTCATGCCTTTGACTGATGCATCTGTCATCATTATTTAGATTGTTTCTATATTTTACAACCATCCAGTTTAGAACATTCATAGTCATTGAATCACGTGCATTATTTATGTTTACATAGAATTGCAAACATGTATGAGGACTTACTATTCTCAGGATAAGATTATTTTAGAATAGTATGCGGCCAAAAGCTTTATGTCAACTACATGCATGCTATTAATTTGTCTTCATGGATTATTACTGGATGCTAATGTATCTTTTTATAAGTTCAGCAAGTTTAGTCTGTTTTGAGGAAACCCATTGTAACTGCAGGTGATGGTGATTCACGACATATTGGGTTTAAAGTTCCTCTACCTGATGCATTTGAAATAACTTCAGTAAGCACTCTATGAGCAACTAATTATAACAAATTACAGCTAGAAATTTTCTGTTTACAATCTCTTCTTTCCCAGGATGTTGTCACAGTAGGCCGAGTTCCGGAGAAAGCAGATATGGTAATTCCAGTTGCTACAGGTAAATTTTCATGTCAATTAGTAATTTTTCATGTCAACTATTTTTTCTGTGAAGCTTAAGATTCTCTAGTTACAGAATCTTTTACGAGGATGGTATATGGGTTTCTAGTTCTTTGTCAAACCCACCCAGTAAGCTATTTCTGTGCTTTAAGAATTCACACATTCTAGTGAGAATCTTTGGGAAGGTTATGGAAGATGTTTCTGAGTTGTAACTTCTAATGCGGATTTCATTTTGTGAAACTTCATCTCCAGTTTTGCAGTCTCAGTTAAATCCATTCCTTTCTTAGCATTGCCGTCTTTGTGTCCTCACTCAAGTTCCTTTTGGCCATGCACAATATGCTTTTATAGGGAAAATTTGCAAAATAGACCGTTTTTATAAAATAATTAGCGAAATAGACCGTTTTTAAAAGTAATTAGCAAAATAGACCGTTTTTTGGCAAAAGAGGTCGATTTTGAAAAAGGGTTCAGAAAACATACGGGACTACTAGTCCCGTATGTTTTGTTAACAAACAGAAAATATACGGGACTAGTAGTCCCGTATATTTTCTGAGTGAGATTAAACATACGGGACTAGTAGTCCCGTATGTTTTCTGAACCCTTTTTCAAAATCGACCTCTTTTGCCAAAAAACGGTCTATTTTGCTAATTACTTTTAAAAACGGTCTATTTCGCTAATTACTTTATAAAAACGGTCTATTTTGCAAATTTTCCCGCTTTTATAATATTTGGGTATCTCTGCAATGCTTATTCTAAGCTTCTTGGTTCATGTCCATTTCCTACAAAGAATAAGACATTTCTTTGCCTCCCTTGTCGAATTCAGTTGCTGGCTAGGATAATCTTTGCATATGATGGATCAAAGATCACAAATGTGCACTCTAAAGGGTTGAAAGAGGAGCTCATTATTTCATGGTCCTATGTGAAAACAATCAATGAAACTGATTAAGAATTCAAAACTACGAGCAAGCTCACAGGTATAATGTGGTTCGGCCAGATCTAGCCTACATCCACGGAGGAAAGAACTGTTCTCTCTTTTCTGCCAGAACAGAGAGACGGCTAGGGTTCTTTATTCAGATATATATCTGGGTATGTAAGTTTTAGACTTCAGTCCTCAAACATTCACTTATTTATATATATGGATCTGACAGCAAATACCCAAACCAACTATGAACCTGATAAAACTGATTGTTCAGAGTCAGGAAACATGCACAATTTGCTTCTCAATTAGCATTGTCGCTTGACTGACAAACCCTTAGTAAAAATATCTGCAACTTGGTCTTTCGGACGGAACATAACCTGTCTGCAACTCCTTATACTCCACCTTTTCTCGAACAAAATGATAGTCAATTTGTTTATGTTTTGATCTATCATGAAGACCTAGATTTACTCCTATTACCAAAGCACTTTTGTTGTCACACAATATCGTGGATGTTTGAACTATCAATCCTAATGCTTGTAGAAGTTGTCTAATCCAAGGCAACCACACTTCCCAAGGCTCTATATTCTGCTTCTGTACTTGAGCAAACAACCATTTTCTGGTTTTGGCTTTTCCAAGAAACTAAATTATTTCCTAAGAATATTCAATATCCTGAAACTATCGTCTCTCAATCTCTCAACCTCATATACATAATCAACTGTCAAGTCTTTCCAAAACCACTCCTTACAATATTTTGAATGGATAAAGAGACTGTGAAATCCTCTTCTAATGTTGTAATTTTTTGCATAGATAAAGAATACGAAACTCTCGCCTCTCGCATAATATTCTAGAATAAGGCTGTGCCCTTTGCTAAACCTAGATTATAAGAATATTGTCTCTTTCTCATCTCTTTTTTTTTTGGTTTTTCCTCCAATAATAGAAGGTTATATATAGGGAAACCAAAAGCATATTCCTAGCCAAACTTTCTAATTAAAATAGAATATAAACTTCTAATCATGATAAGACCTAATGTTCTAATTGTTATAGACCTCTAACCCTATCTAATTCTCATGAAGTTATATAAAAAATCAAAAATACAATCCCAACAAAATTCCATTATTCTGTAGATTTTTTTTAAATAATAGAAGTGTACTCACCCCCTCCATCACTTTGCAAATATTTTATCTTAGATTGAAAATGGTTTTCAGCAAAAGTTTTGAATCGATCAAATAAATCAAAGACTTATGATTTCTCTTTCATGAAAAAAAACCCATACATATCGAGAATAATAATCAATGAAAGAAATATAATATCTAGAATTTGATAATGAAACATTTGGAGTAGGACCCCGTACATCACTATGAATTAACTCAAGCGGTCTGCTCGACTCACTATTGGACAAATGAAAAGGCAATCAATACTGTTTGCTGAATTGACAAGCATGGCAAACTTATTACAATCAGAGATATTTTTCAAAGCTAATGACCTGACACTACATAAAGATTTGAAAGACTCCAACGAATGACGACCAAGACGATGATGCCATAGGGAAAACTGTTTATCTTCTACAACCACAGAACAGGCAAAAGTTGGATACATTCAAGTAAGATCTTCAATCAAGTACAATCTTCCTCTTCTGGTTTCTTCAGCGAACTTTACTTTGTTGGCATGTTCCTTCATGAAAACAGAAGAGGGAAGTGAAAATACATTCAGAGTAGTTATCACAGGTGAACTGAGTTATCGATATAGTACATACCTAAAAGATGGAACAAGAAATACATCCCTTAAGACTAGTTGACCAATGGAGGTAGTGATAATAACATTTCCAATATGAGTGATGGCGGTGAGCACTTTCATCTCCATTATTAATAAAACAATTTCCAAAATAAGGTTTAAGTGTAACAAATTACCTGGTGCGTTTGCAATGTGATTAGCAGCACCTGAATCGACAACCCGTGAATTTTCAGTTGGTTCAAATAATGTCACTCCACCAACTCCACTAGTGAGTGCTGCAATTTCAGTTTCAGAATAGTTGGTTGCATATTTCTGTAGATCCCAACAATATTTGGCTAAATGATTGGCTCTTCCACAAGTTTGACAAATAATCCCTGCTTGACTAGTAAACCTATGACCCTGATTGCCTCTGAACTGACCACGACCTGTGCCAACTTGTCCTCGTGCACCCTGATCCATATTATAATTCTGCCTATGACCACTTTGATTAAGGAACGAGTTCTGGCCACGACCATAACCTCTTCCCCAATAATTTCTTCCTCATACCACGACCTCTTTGATGGAGATTAGTTTCATCATTCCAAGCATTAGCAATTAACACAGCATGAGAAGATTCAAATCTGCCATCAACCATTTTTTGTGCTTTTTCAATACTAGATTTTCATGTTGCAACGAAGGAGACCGCAATTCAACAAATGTTGGTAAAGGTGGATGACTAGTGACCGATGTAATAAACATCTTGAATTCTTCCCACTGCCCGTTCAAAGTGCTGAAAACTTTATCACGATTTCGGACTGGATCTTCAATCAATGCTAACTCATTACAAATAGATTGCACTTTGTTGCAAAACTCAACGGAACTCATGTCTCGTTGCTTAATGCCTTGAAGTTTAGACCTTAACTGCAATATTTTTTGCCTTAGGCATACGAGAAAAAGCTGTCCTTTAGTGCATCCCAAAGTTCTTTGGCAGTCTGTATGCGTACTACTTAGCTTACCACTTCTTCAGTTAAGGTGGACTTAATCCAACCTATCAATTGCTGATCATAAGCAATCCAATCATGATGCTCGGTGTTTGAAACCAGAGAAACTTCATTAACTTTTCCATCTGTTGTGGCGACAGTCTTTTCAATAAACTTTGGTGGTTCGGGATAACTTCCATCAATATTCCCTGTTAATCTTTGTCCGCTAATAAACGGCATAATGAGACTTACCCATAGTAGATTAGTAGGTAATTGGAAGAGTTCAGTTTTATGGTGACCTAAAACATATCACATAAATTTACATGTTCTAATTTCCATATGAACATATAATAATAAAGCGGAAGTAACAAGATAAGATCGATTAATTTACCTCCAGTCATTGCTTTTGAAAACCTCAATAGCACTTTAGAAAGCTCTAATTAATGTTGATGGTTCCAAACTCTCCTTTCACTTTTAGATGGTGTATTAAGTATGAGAGTAGATTTGGTGACCTTTCATGAAACACACATTGTCTACTTATACTACTCTAGCCATCATAGAGTAGTGGACAAGATAGTGAAAGAGTGGGTGGTTTCCAAAATGTGGGGGAAGATCATGGGTAGTTGCCTTGATCATTGGCAACTTCCCATTAAATGGATCATTAATTTTCCACACTAAAATAATATAATATATTCCTATAAAAGTGGAAAACGTCTTACATTCTCCCACTTGATCCATTTTAACAAGAAAAACTCCATATACGGATCATGGCGATTAATTCCTTTTAAGATCAAAAAATTAATCTTCCATGTATCACTATATACTTAGTCTTTCACCACTCACAATTAACTTAATGAGTAAACCTTATGTTTACTCTTGGTCAAAATATAATGATATTTCTCAATATAATAGAATAACTAAAGTATGTACGTACATAATCCAAATGAGAAATTATCCAATGAATGAAAAGTTCATACAAAACATAATAAATGTATTACATAATGGAACCAAGGCCCATCCTTAATACGTGATCCTTGAATCCTTTAACTTGCATGCCTTTAGTCAAGGGATCAGCTATCATTAATTCAGTGCTAATGTGCTCAATGATCACTTTCTTTTCTTGCACACGTTCTTTTACGGCTAGATACTTTATGTCGATGTGTTTACTTCGACTTTCACTCTTATTATTCTTAGCCATAAAGACAATAGCTGAATTATCACAATACATTCTTATTGGCCGACTAATAGAGTCAACAACTCTTAGCCCAGATATGAAGCTTTTCAACCATACACCATGTGAGGTAGCCTCAAAACAAGAAACGAACTCAGCCTCCATTGTAGAAGTGGCCGTCAAGGTCTGCTTCGTACTCCTCCACGATACAGATCCATCGGCTAGCATAAACACATCCTGATGTGGATTTACGTGAATCATTGTAGCCACCGAAGTCGAAGTCGGAGTCGGAGTAGCCTACCACTTCAAGACTATTAGTCCGTCTATACATAAGCATGTAATCTTTAGTACCCTTAAGGTACCTCAGCACTTTCTTCGCAGCCTTCCAGTGATCGATGCCTGGGTTACTTTGATATCTGCCTAACACTCCAACGGCATATGCAATGTCGGGTCTAGTACAGACCTGAGCATACATAATGCTACCAACAGCTGAAGCATATGGAACATTTTTCATTTGTTCCATTTCAATGTCATTCCTGGGGCATTGGTCCAAACTGAACTGGTCACCTTTCACAATGGGTGCTACACTTGGTGAACAATCTTTCATACCGAATCTTTCTAAGACTTTGTTGATATAGGCCTCTTGAGACAAACCCAATATGCCTCGAGATCTATCTATATGGATCTTTATGCCAATGACATAAGACGCCTCGCCCATATCTTTCATATCAAAGTTACTTGAAAGAAATTGTTTCACCTCATATAGAAACCCCTTATCGTTGGTTGCTAGCAAAATATCATCCACATACAACACAAGGAAACAAATCTTGCTCCCACTGACCTTAAGGTATATACATTGATCCATAACATTTTCTTCGAAGCCAAATGAAGTAATCACTTTATGGAATTTCATATACCATTGTCGGGAAGCTTGTTTCAACCCGTATATGGATTTATTAAGCTTACAAACCAAATGCTCACCATCCTTAGAGAAGAATCCTTCAGGTTGTTTCATATAAACCTCTTCCTCTAAGTCACCATTGAGAAATGCCGTTTTCACATCCATCTGATGTAGCTCAAAATCAAAGTGAGCTACTAATGCCATCACCACTCGAAAGGAATCTTTCTTTGATACAGGAGAGAAAGTCTCTGTGTAGTCGATTCCTTCCCTTTGAGTGAACCCTTTGGCAACGAGTCTAGCCTTATGTCTTTCGACGTTGCCTTGTGAGTCTTTCTTTGTCTTGAAGACCCACTTACATCCAATGGTTTTTACACCATTTGGCAACTCGACAAGATCCCAAACTCGATTAGATGCCATAGAGTCCATCTCATCTTTCATGGCATTCATCCATAAGTTTGAATTTGTAGAACTTATGGCCTGTGAAAATGACATAGGATCATTATCGGCTCCAATATTACAATCCGATTCTTGTAGATACACTAAATAGTCATCAGAAATAGTTGATTTCCTTGGTCTAGTAGATCTCCTCAATGGAACTTGTTCATCTTCATGATGAACTGTTTGTTCCTCATTTACATTATGATCTGCTAGATTATTGTCAACTTGTGGAACCTCAATAGTTGGTTGTCTAACACGCAATTGAGATTGAGGTGCGTGAATGACAATCAACTTATCACTTGAAACAATATGTGGAATTTGATCATCATTCTTTTCAGGAACAATGTCCTGAAATTGATCACTCCCACTAATCAAGTCATTTTTAAGAAACTTAGCATTTCTTGATTCCACAATTCTGGTGCTATGAGTTGGACAATAGAATCTATAACTCTTGGACTTTTCGGCATATCCAATGAAATACCCGCTAATAGTCCTTGGATCTAGCTTCTTCTCTAGTGGATTGTACACTCTCACCTCAGACGAGCATCCCCAAATGCGTACATGTTGCAAACTCGGTTTCCATCATTTGAATAGCTCAAAAGGTGCCTTTGAGACAGCCTTGGAAGGAACCCGGTTTAATATATACGCTGTCGTCTTAAGAGCATCAACCCATAAGAATGATGAAAGTTTAACATTACTTCTCATACTTCTCACCATGTCCATTAAAGTTCTATTTCTTCTTTCTGCTACACTATTTTGGTCTGGAGAACCAGGCATAGTGTATTGGGCAACAATCCCATGCTCTTGAAGAAATTTAGCAAATGGACTTGGCGCTTGTCCGTTCTCAGTGTATCTACCATAGTACTCTCCACCTCTATCTGATCTCACAATCTTTATGTGCTTATCACATTGTTTCTCTACTTCAACCTTAAACAATTTAAAGGCATCCAAAGCTTCGTCCTTAGAACGAAGTAAGTAAAGATACATATATCGTGAATAATCATCTATAAAGGTGATAAAGTATTTCGGATCATTAGCGTTCATGTCCGGACAACAAATATCCGTGTGTATGATCTCTAACAGGTTTGAACTCCTTTTGGCACCCATTTTGTGTTTGTTAGTTTGCTTTCCCTTAATGCAACTAACACAAGTGTCAAAATCAGTGAAGTCTAAAGTACTAAGTACTCCATCCTTTACCAATCTCTTAACTCTCTCAATGGAGATATGTCCCAATCTCCGGTGCCACAAAATAGATGAGTTCTCATTCATAATACATCTTTTTAATCCAGTATTAACATGCATAGAATTATGAGTGATATCATTTTGCAAAGAAAGACGATATAAGCCATCAGACAAAATACCATAACCAATAACTTCAGAATTTCTGAAAATACTGAAACCAGAATCTGAAAAATTAAAGGAAATTCCCAAAGGTACAAGTCTTGAAACTGAAATCATATTCCTAGTAAAACCAGGTACATAAAACGTCTTTTCTAAATGCAAAATAAAACCACTATTAAGAATTAAACTGCATGTCCCAACGGCCTCCACATGTGAACTCATCTGGCTGCATGAATAGATGTAGTGTTCACTTCCCATTGGTTTCCTTAGGTTTGTCATACCCTGTAAGGTATTCGAAACATGAATTGTAGTACCAGAATCAATCCACCATGTATTATTATTAATATTAACCATATTAGATTCATAAACGAACACAAGAAAATTACCTTTCTTCTCAAGCCAAGTCTTAAACTTAATGCAATCTTTCTTCATGTGTCCCTTCTTTTTACAAAAGAAACACACAGACTCCTTCTTTATGCCTTGCTTAGCTGTAATCTTTCCCTTTTGCTCAATGTGATCCTTTTTCTTCTTTGAAGAAGAACCAGTAGTAAGGTTCACCTTCTCACCTTCTTCCATCACTAGTCTGCCCTCCTCTTGAACACACATGGTCATAAGTTCATTAATTGACCATTTATCCTTATGTGTGTTATAAGAGATCTTAAAGGGGCCATACTGTGGAGGAAGTGTGCACAAAATAAAATGCACTAGGAAAGAGTCAGACATGGTAACTTCCAAAGTATTAAGTTGGGCCGCAATATCCCTCATGTGCATGATATAATCACGCACACCCTTAGTCTCATGGTGCCTCATTTATGAGAATTTCATAATTAAGGTGCTAGCAAGAGCTTTGTCAAAAGTTACAAACTGCTCATCAATGGCATAAAGGAGATCTCTAACCTTAGTATGCTTATCGACAGAACCCCGCTCATCAATGGCATAAAGGAGATCTCTAACCTTAGTATGCTTATCGACAGAACCCCGAATACTAGCACAAATTTTGGTCTTTATGAACATAACTCTAACCTTAGTATGCTTATCGACAGAACCCCGAATACTAGCACAAATTTTGGTCTTTATGAACATAACGAAGAGGCGATTAGATCGCTCCCACTTTTCATAAAAGATTAACTGCATCTAGAGTGCTAGTTTCAGTTATACCCGGTGGTTCGTCTTTCCGAATAGCATAGTTGATATCCATCCATCCCAAATGCAGAAGCACTCTTTCTTTCCACACCTTATAGTTATCACCCATTAATTCAGGAATGTCACAATTGACATCAGAAATATTCCCAGGTAAAATTGCTGCAAACAAATATATATATACATGCTTATTAACAAAATTGAGACTTAACTTTATCATGCTTTACCAATGTAAATCATGCAAAATATGAATCTAGTGACATAAAACCTGCCTGTGGGCTAAAGTCCTACTCAAATTAGATTCATAAAAATAACCATATGATGAAACTACCAAATCATATTCATTTTAATATATTATTCCTTCACTTCAACATAATGTTAATGAATAACAATAATTAAAATGTTAAAGCTCTATAATTTTGATCATTAAATGTCCACTAATTTAATAAATATCACTAAAATATTTAATGATGAAATTAATATGCAATATATGTCCATATGATCAAAATACAACACTGTATCTTATAGCATGATATAAAAATTATGAATAGGAACATACATCAGTACTCCTTATACAATACATTTTGCCGACTTCGCAATAGTCCAAAATTTACATAGATTATTAAATTAATACACATGCTATATGCAAAAGCGAACCGTCAATTTACAAACTCCTATCATCTTTGCTTTTATCATTTTACTACTTGATTTAGATTTATTCCAACATATCAAATAGTTTCTGTCAGTAAAGCTATGCTATTTCTATAACAAAACTTTTGTCATTTTTCAATTAATGACAATGCATAGACTACCTACATTATTAAGCAACTACATACTCATCAACACAAATGCCCATGAATAATGTTTCCATTTGTGCATTGAAAGAAAAAATAATAATGTGATGTACGTAGCTCTAAACAAATATCAGTGAGTAAAAATCTACACAATATTTAGCAAATCATATTTTATGTCGTAACATCTTAATTTTGCTAATTTCAATAATAAAGTGACAATTTTCATATCAAGCAAGGCAGAGGCAATAACCTCACTCTGATACCAAATGTAAAACATATCACATAAATTTACATGTTCTAATTTCCATATGAACATATAATAATAAAGCGGAAGCAACAAGATAAGATCGATTAATTTACCTCCAACCATTGCTTTTGAAAACCTTATAATAATAAAGCGGAAGCAACAAGATAAGATCGATTAATTTACCTCCAACCATTGCTTTTGAAAACCTCAATAGCACTTTAGAAAGCTCTCAAGATCAAGTGAAGCAGACCGGGGAGCTACTCCCCAGGGGAAGGACTGAAGACATATATACTCTTCATAAGGCTAACCGACCTTTATTTTCTACTTTGGCATCTACTTTCTTAGAATTGTACTTTGGCACTAGTTCTCATGAAGACTTCCCTGTGTAGCTTGCACTAATCATTCGTGCTCAACTTCGTATTGTTCACCAAGAGCTTATCTGATCGTTGATTCTTCGTAATATAATGCAGTATCTGGTCTTCATGCTCGCCTCGAAAAGAAAGAAGGAAATCTTCGCATCACAGATCTCGACAGTACAAATGGGACATTTATCAACGAGAAGAGGCTCAGAGCTGGGGCTGCTGTACAAGTACCTCCAGGGAGTTGTGTCACTTTTGGTAGCACTATATATTAAAATTGCTTTTAACTGATTGAATTTCTTTCTTCATATCTTTTTCTATTAGTTGCATTCAGTGATTTTCCTTTGTTATTTCTCAGGTGATACTCATTTAGCTATGTTCCGTGTTTCGAAGGTTGAAGCTCGTGAAAAAAAACCTTCTGCTGAAGAAGAAGGATCTGGAGTCAAAACTGACACTGATTTGGCTAATGATAATTACAGTGAACTGAGTTGAGAACTCTTGGTGACAGTTGCGCTAATATGTGATTGTGTGGGCATCATGTTCTATTATGGGTCGGCCTATGTTTTCTACTTACCAAATGTAGGGTTTTGTGAACTTTCTACTCAATTTTAACATTTTGAGCGTGTTTGGCGGGGCTTTTTTTTTTCTTTTTTGTGTGTGTCAAACTAGCTTGCTAAGCTCATATCTATCTGTTTAGTAAAGACCCAAATAAGTTAATTTATAAGTCTCATTTCGAAAAGCTAATATCCCATTGAAAAAGTATAGCTTATAAGCTCTCCTAAATAAATTGGGTTTGACCAAAAAAAACTACTATTAGCCACATACCTTTTATCATAAAATCTAGAAGCTAGCGTTGCTTAAAAGCTTTTAAAAATAAGCTCCTTCAGACGTTTTCTACTAGTTAAGAGGACTAATTAGCTCAATGACTAAACTTATTTACAAGTCTACTTAATATTTCAATCGGCGAGAACTAGATAAATTCAAGACTAAAGGCTAGTTTGGTATTGGTTTCTTTAGGCTGTTTCTACTTATTTTTTCAAGAGGCAGATGTTTGATGAAGTTTACTATGCATCCCTATTGAAACTGCTTTTAAGAAGGTGTTTTGGAAGCAATCCCAGGATGCTTTTAGAAGCACATTCTGGTTTCATAGTTTAATACCATATACTCGCTTTAGTTTTTGACATTATTAATTTATCTATTTAGAAATTATCTTGTCTATTTGGTTAGCTAAACCTATGTCTATTTTTTTTTCATTTTAACTTATAAATTTATAATGATATTTAAGAACACATTTACCTAACACTTTACTACATTTGGAAGTTGCTTATAATATATGACTGCCAAATAACTAATTTTAGCAACTTGTATAAGTTAATTCTGGAAGTTGCTTTTATAAGAAACTTATCATAAGATCCAACAATCCAAACTAGCCCCAAGACTCAGCATATATGTTAGTTGTTTATATTTCTAGATTAGAAAGGGAGCGTAAAGGTCACAAAACTAAATATAAATTTAGTAAAACTGTAAGAAAAATGAGTATTTAACACATTAACTATTAGACATACCAAAACAATGAATACTATGATTTTGAATAATTAGTTATGACGGTGAGACTGATAATGATGTGGTTATCGATTAAATCAGGATTGTTACATTGATAGAGTATTTTTGGAGTTTGATGAAACCTAGAATACCTACGTAATTGAAAGAAAATTCTACGAAACAGATATAAGACTAGTATTCTTTCTGTATCAAAGGCAACCTATGTGTAAAATGTGAGCATAATAGGAATGAGAATGTTACGATGTTCTTGTGGTTGTACACTAAAAATGAAGATGAAAATTAAGTGAATTTATTGTGATCATTGATTCTCTGCTTTGACTGATTCCCTTAATTTCCTCTATCTAGATCCATTCTTAAGGGTTGTACAGGTTCTATATTAAATGTAGACTATGTGAATGAAAGACAACAGAGAGAAATAATTCTATTTCTTTCATCATCTCTCTCCCTTTCTTCTCCTCTTTAAAATTACATTAACAACATGGTATCAGAGCATCGTCTTGCCGTTGCCGCCAATCCGACTTGATACATCATGGATTCAATACTTCTGTGATGAGTCGATTTGCCTACTTCTTCACTTAGTGTGTGACTGCCGGTTGCAGTGAAGAGTTTGTGGTGGCAGTGTGTGACTGTCAATTGGTGTCTCTTCGTGCTCGGGTTGTAATGGCTACTCCAGTCACTTATGAGGATCTTCAAAAAGATCCTTACTGGACTAGTGAATGGATCCTTGCAGGAGTAAACCTTACGCGCTTTGCAAACTAATTCTGTGAAGCTTGATGGGTGTGGTACCTTTTTGACATGGTCACGGAATGCGAAGCTAATCCTTGCTTCCCGCGGTTTGGAGGGATTTAACACTGGGAAAAAGGAGAAGCCTAGTTCTGATGGCATGGAAAAAGAACAGTGGGAAGCTCATAATTCTCTAGTTATAGCATGGCTATTAGGATCCATGGTTCCGGAGGTAGCCCGGGGTGTTTAGTTGTTGAAGACAGCAAAGGAGATATGGGATAGTGTATCTGGACGTATTCTCGAAAAGGCGACTTCAATCAAGCTTACGAGATACAATGCAAACTACGTGTTTTTCGACAGGGGAGCTATCCATTACGCAATATGTGGCTGAACTAAAGCATATGTGGACGGAACTGGATTTCCATTACTCATTTACACCGTCCACTCCCTGTTTGTTGGAAATTTGCAGTAAAAAGACAATGAAAGAAAAATTAACTTGTATTCCTCTCAAAATCAATTACAATTTGGATTCCGATTACAAAAGAGAGGAGAATGAATTCGATTCTCCCCTTTGTTTAAAACTGGGTTCTTCTTGGTAGCGATGGAGTGCCTTCTTCGATTGCTTGTGTCGAACTTGCTCTCCGTTGACGATCCGACCGTCTTGATTCACTGGAACGATTGACTTGTTTGATGAATTCGGTTTAGAACTCTTAACAAGTTTAATAAACTCAGAGCGAGTTGAAAACTCTGAAAAGAGTTGTTGAGAACCGAATAACTGACTTGGTGTAATTACCTTGAGTTGCAAGCTTAATTACCAATTCTTAAATGAGTTTCAGAACTCAGAGTGAGTTGAAACTCTGTAACAAAGTTGTTAGAACCGAAGATTCGGTTAATAGCCAAGTAAATCCGCCGTTGGTGAAGGGATTCTTCAAGATTTGATTAACTGATTGCTGATCAGTTCTTTGATCTCTTGGAAAATCGTCTTCTCTGTGCGGTTAAGCTGCTGAGATTTGTTAACCTTATACGGTTTTGATGCCAGCACACGTCAACCTCTGGTGGTTTGATCTCTCCCAAAAAATCCAGTCCCGTAGGATATTGAAGAGAACTTGTTTGAATAAGTTTGAAACTCTAGCCGAGTTAAGAAACTCTTTTGAAAGAGTTAATTTCAGAAAGGATTAATAATCCTTTTAGCCAAGAATGATTGATCAATTGTTGATCAGAAGAACTTGCTAAACAAGTTTTAAAGCTCTGATCGAGTTAGGAAAACTCTAAAAAGAGTTGATGATAACAAACCAAGTTCAATCATTTCAAAAGAGTAGCTGATCTCTTTTTCTCTTCGGCCGATCTCAAAAAAGCTCCGCCAGTCCTTTATAGGTTCGGTAAAACCTCTATATCTCCAAATATAACCAATAGAAAGCAATTTCCACCGTTCAGAATTAGTAATAATAAGTGTAGTAGACACTCTCCAAATTTCACATCGATCGGACCACGGATGAGGGTCCGATCGTCACGCCGATCACAACTGCGCAAATCTGACTTTTCTCTGCACTCCTGGAACGACCAGCTTCGGTAAAACCTTCATATCTCCAAATCTAACTGATAGAAAGCAATCTCCAATGTTCAGAATTAGGAAAGACGAGTTTAGAAGCTACCCTCCAAATTTCACATCGATCGGACCACGGATGAGGGTCCGATCGTCACGCCGATCACAACTGCGCAAATCTGACTTTTTTCTGCACTCATGGAACGACCAGCTTCGGTAAAACCTTTATATCTACAAATCTAAATGATAGAAAGCAATCTCCAACGTTCAGAATTAGGAAATACGAGTGTTGATTCTACCCTCCAAATTTCACATCGATCGAACCACGGATGAGGGTCCGATCGTCACGCCGATCACAACTGCGCAAATCTGACCTTTCTTCTCCTCTCTTGTTCCCCCTTTCTTTTAATTTCGTCTAGCCCTCTACCACCAGCCCTATTTTGCTGTGAAAACCACCTATTTGTAGGAGTTTAAGGGGTATAACTATCCCCCTTAATTAGCTCTATAATGGAGGTTAGTTGCCCTATTAAGTGGAGGACCGTTTCAAGGATTTGAAATGGTCAAACACGACCTTCGCGTTGAAGAGATTGTCAATTATAATCTTTTTTTTTTGAACTTTTGTGAGGATCGTCAGATTGTAATCCTTACATTTAGCTCTTGATAATATGAGAGTCGTCAATTTGTTACTCCCGATGTTGATTGTGAAGGCTGTTGAATTAGAGCTTTCATCAGTTGTTGTGAAGATCGTTAGATTGTAACCTTCATCAGTCTACGTGAAAGTCTTCAAATTGTAACCTTCTGAAAGTCGTTAGATTGTAACTTCTATCATCGGTGTTTGATGGGGATCAGCTATCTATTGTGATTTTTTGACAGCCTACAGAACCCCCTCCAAAGTTTTCGAAAGTTCGCGGTTGACTGGGACGAATTTTCAGAATACTTTGGATCTCAACTCTGATCTTGGAGCTGTTGATTCCTTGTGGTAAATGATTTGTTCTCTGAACTTGCTTCGAAGGCATCTTGGTTGAAGGGATTTGCTACGTAGGACCTGTGTGAAGGTATGCGCCATAATCCTGCTTCTGGAATGTGGGGGTGGACCCTGCATTTTGAACTTGAGATGCGGGTCTCACCCTTACATGTTGAATTTGGAACACGGGTGTGACCTCAAGTTTCCGTGTATTTTTGACTAAGTCTTTGAGACTTGTCTTTGGCTCATCTGTTTTAAGTCTCGGCTCACATCTATTAAGCTGATGGGCCTGCAAACGTGTATAGGATTTTTGGCAAATCCTCAGCCATCAACGGATTTGATAAGCCTTTACCGACTACCGTTTGAGTCGGGCTAGCATGTGGATTGTCTAAGTCCGTTCCACATGTAACGTTGTGCTAAGAGAATGAACCCTCTTAGACTTGATGCTATGATTTTGAATACATAGACTTTATCATTTTTACGGGAAAAGATTAACCGGCAACGTGTGTTAGGCGTAGGCTTATCTCTAATTAGGGATCGAGATAAAGTCCCCCATGCGTATGAGGCATGGATTTTAATGTCCTTTTCATGGTAAAAGACTAACCGGCAACGCGTGTTAGGCGTAGACTTATCTCTAATTAGGGATCGAGATAAAGTCCCCCATACGTGTGAGGCATGGATTTTATTGTCCTTTTCACGGTAAAAGACTAACCGGCAACGCGTGTTAGGCGTAGGCTTATTGCTAATTAGGGATCGAGATAAAGTCCCCCATGCGTGTAAGGCATGGATTTCGGTGTTATTAATAACAACCTGCCACGATGTTGAATACGTGGACTTTGTCGTTATTTCTTCCTGTGTTACTTGAAACACTGAAAGAAAGTTAGAAACGCCAGAGGTGTAATATTAACTTGGCATGAATTTTTACTTA